TAGTTTAAAAGTAATTTAATTGATATTGGGAATCTATCATCTATCTCTTTATTCATTTTTTCTTCAATATAGTTGTAATTTCCTTCTTATTTCTTATAATCATATAGAAATAGCTAATAATTAAAAGAAAAATAAGATCATATTCAAGTATATACCTTTATCACTAACTACTTTCTCAGGCTAGCTTTCTTTTTCTTACTGAGTAGGCACGATGTGAGATATATCAATCATACTAAGCACATGCTCTTTTATATGTTCATGAAATGTTACTTTGTAAAACTAAATTTTTGTCAATCGTAAATTCTCTAAAGTTTCTGCCTTTTTTACTTTGGTCTTCATATTTCAAAAATAATGGTGCCTATCTAGTCTGGTAGAGAGTTTTGAAACAACTGTGAATTGAGTGATCATGGCGGGTCTCTCCATCACTGCTAGTGTGAGGTCACCAGAAGATCGCTTTGCCTCCATTCTCAGCCATCAATCCCAGGTCCACCAGGAAGAGGACACAATACATGGGAAGTGGACAGATACAGCGTTTGTCAAACTCTGGAAGGCCAGGCAATTAATTACTTTGTATATTAATTCTTTATTTCATTTTATTTTTATTTCATTCAATTGTCCTTTATTCTTTCATTTAACAAATGTAATGAGCACTTGGTAGTATTAATAAGTCAGAACTTTTGAGTTCTCAAAGTTTCTGTGTTACTGAATGTAAGTAGAGAAGAGAGTTAAGAACAAATCCTTTTTTTTCAGCCTCATATATCACTATGTTGGTTCACATTCAAGAAGGACCAACACGTATGAAGCTTTTGCAGAAACTGAAGGCTTAGTGTGTGAGGGGAAAAACATAAAGGATTCTAGACCTTTTTTCCCCACAGAGTGGCATAATTTTATTTCCTCAAACCCTTTCTGTGACACCAAATAACTCAAAACCTTAGTTTATCCATTTTCCCAGCACCAGCTTCAAATATGAGGAAAGAAGTACTTTTCTTGCTCATAACAGAAAATCGTGTGGATTTTTTTTCCCGTGGACTTGACTGAGGTTTTGTAAAAGGGATCAAGGGATTGGTACAAATAGGCAGCCTCCTAGCATATCGATAACAACGGATTTTTTTTTTGTTTTTAAGCATACAGAAAGGGATACCTAATTTACTGGGAAAGAATGCAGTTTAAGAATAGATATGGAAGGGAATATAAAGGAGACAGAAATGGAATAAAAAAGATTACCGCTATGATTTTTTTTACATTTTTTTTCAGAAAAACTGAATGCATAGCAAAATTAACAGGCTCCAATATACATAGTGTGATGCTTTTAATGCTGTTTGAGGATAAATAGTAGATATAAATATTTGGAATTTGTAAAGAATAAAATAAAGTAAAAAGTCAACCCATGTTAAAAAACAAAACCAATTTTATAAATAAGCCAATATGGCAAATTTCAAGCTTTCCAAATGTATGTTCCCACAGCCAAGATTGACCTTTACTTTTTTTTATATGGCATCTAAAACAATGTTAGTCAAAGAGTATTTAGTGAAGAAAGATATTTCTTTCTGGACACAAAGCACTGCTATATAATAAATGCAGCTTAAAAAGATAATAGTAGATTAAATCTTGATCTTGATGCAAATTTAGAGAAATATATAAGCAGAAGAGAAGTGGCATATAATTAGGATTAGCTCTGCAGGTCTACATAAGCTCTTTCAGAAGCAAGAAGAGTGTCAGTGACTGGAGTTTATGCAACAAAAGCAATGCTAGGAACCCCAACAACAAAAACAAAATTTCTGTTTTGTAGATGTGAAAATCAGGAGCAAATATGCTGAGAGACATATAAAACCATAACATTTACAGGCATAGTGGAAATGTAAACAATATTTTCTGATACTCAGTTGAACCTTCTATAACTGTAACTATTGTCCCTCAGAAAAGATAGTTTTATTAGACTACAGCATATGTAGCAGACTGCATTCAGATAAGTTATATGCTTACAAATGGAACATAATAAATGTTTCACATGGTACAGACCAGTAACATATGGCTCCGTTCAGAGAGAGGAGAGAGTAAATAATACTTTGCAAGTAATGAATTCAACCTGGCCAGAACAGAACCTAGCTGAAAACAACCATGTAAACAGTAGCAGCCAGTTCCTTTGCAAGCACTTTCTTTTCATAATTTATCCCTCTTGAACAAGGTGTGTGTGTTGAGGGAGGAGGGCACAATTCTTCCCCAGTATAAGGGAGAATATATGATCTCATTTTTTTCCTTTTGCACTTTAAATTTTAAAGAGGAAAAACAATAACTAAGTGTGCCATTGAAAATCAAAGTGCTTATTTTCTAAGAAAAATGAGTCTCAGACCACAAAATGGGGCAGAATGTAGAGCAATTGGAGAAGGGAGATGGAAATGTACCACTTAGCCGTGGTTCTTCGATATCGGTTTACATGGATGAAGGTGACGTTTCCATACAGAGATTCTGTTTCAGTAGGGCTAGGGTAAGAACAAGCACCTTCAAGTGATATTAATGCTGGAGTTCACTGTACCATGTTATCACTCCAGCTTCATTTAAACTGAAAAAGGAGTTAGAAGAGTGTGTGGAAAGCAGTAGGAACAAAACTTTCTTTGGGCTCCTTCTTAGCTATTTTACTCTCTTTCCATAAACTAGAGAAAGGAAAGAAGGGCTGATTGAAAAGAAGCTAACTGAAGACCAGAAAAAAAAATCACAAAATCCAAAATTTGTAACAGCCGTTAGAAAGATTCTGGGAGTATTATACTGAGTAATTATTACCCCTACCTGATAGGAGTAGGCATGCATGTTGTGTTTCTGTTTTAAAGTATCAAGTAGTTGTGCTAGCTCTGTTGGTTTTGGTTTATTCTGTGACATCTAACAACAGAACTCTCACTTGTTAAAAGCAAATACTACGTAGGGCTGAGCAATGAAATAAATTTCTATCAATAAAATTTTCAATTTTTATTTTATCAGGATTTTGCATAGGGCTTTGTACACATTACGGAGCTCTGGTGGTACAGTGGTTAAAGCGCTTGGCTGCTAACCAAAAGGTCAGCGGTTTAAATCCACCAACTGCTCCACAAGAGAAAGATGTGACAATCTGCTTCCATAAAGATTTATAGCCTCGGAAACCCTATGGGGCAGTTCTACTCTCTCCTGTAGGGTTGCTATGTGTCAGAATTGACTCAATGGCAATGGATTTGGTTTATGGTTTGGTTATACACATTCTCGTATTTAATGCTTATAATAACCCTATGAGGTAGGTATTATCTTCTTTGTTTATATGAGGAAACTGACCCTAAGAGATGTTAAAAGTGCTTCCCTGGATCACATGAACACCAGTGCATCTACTCTGAAGTCCACATTCTTAACTACTTCTTTCTCTGTTATCAGTATAAACTATCTCCTCTTTTGTGATAAAGGCATTCATAAGGGCACATTTTGAATTAACTGTTGGTATATCTCTACTTCCTTAAGATGCTAAATAATTTTTGGCAAACTCAGTATGATTAGGGACTGGCATACTATTTGGTAATCTTAAATATTTTCATAATTATTACAGCACTTATTAGACACCATGCTTCTTTATTTTCGGTCAGATCAGCAGCTATTTCTGCTTGTAAACAAAGTAAGATCAGAAGGCACTGTGGTAATATCCAATAGGAAATCATCTAATCTGTTTGGTTTTAACACAGTTCTACTCCATTATATGTGATACAGCTATTTGCTAAATATCTTTGACTTTATATTCCTATTTATGATGTCCTGATATATCCACATATTACTTAATGATCCTCAAAACGCCACTAGGTATATAGATGTCAAAAGTATATTTTCCATTGTCTTAGCTTTGAATTTCCTAGTGGTCCAAAACAAAAATGAAAACAGCCAACTTATAGGATCATGAATCCTGGTATAAAAGTAAATTAGGAATGTCAGAAGTAAAGCTTTTCCTGGCACTAAGACATACTAGAAATTTCTCCCACAAGTACTCAGTAAGTGGATACATTGACTATAGTGGACAAGGACCTCATTAACTTTATTGATAAAAATATAATAGGAAGTTTCATATGGCCTTTCTAAAAATGTCCCTCGATACAAAATATTTGGTACAATAACACCAAGCAAAATTTGGTGAAGGCAGTTTTTAGAAGAACCAAAATACAGCAGTAAAGGAGTACACTTTTCTAATACATTGTTTCTGTTTATGGGAATGGAAAATATGGCAATGGATGTTGGAGATGATTGCACAACATGATTGACATAATTGTTTTCATTGAATTTTACAAGTTAAAAAGCTGAATTGGCAAATGATGTGTTACCTATATTTTTACAATAATAATAAAAAAGATAATTTACTTTGTTATTATAACCACTTAACTCTTACTTTGATAGTCATGAAGGTTTTTTGTTGTTGTTTTTCTGAGACTTACTGGTGGATTATATATAGTATACCTTTCTTGGTAACATTAATAATTTTGGAAACTGAAATATTACAATGGCTTAATGTATCTCTTTACTCTTATCAAGCTGTCTGGCTTGAAACCTTGAATTCGGGCATGTGATTTCTCCAAAAGAAAAGTAACATTTTGTTAGGTGAGGTGTCAAATTGCTAGCTTACATTGTATAAAAGTCAATATGTACCAAGTCATATTAGAGAATTTCATCTACACTGCTAGGAGGTTGCTGAACTCAATTACAGAAATGTGCAGAGCTCTATTTGATGTGTGATGAGGTTGGGAGACCACAATCAATTAAAAAGAACACATGTATATACTCTTCTGGGGAAACAGTTGTTATAGTATCCCTTGTTCAGCTTCTGCTTTTTTCTTTGAGTTTTCCTCTGAACATAGAAGAACAAAGAATTTAATAATTCCCTGGTTTCATTTGGAATTGTTTTGTCAGCAGTATCTAGTAACAAGTCATGAGATTGTTGTTTTACTCGAATAAAGCCTCAGGCAGCAACAATTAAACATATTGTACTTTTTTTTGTCTTGTAGCAAAACCATTTGAAAATGGACAATATTTGGACATTTATGGAATTACAAGAGACCAGGCTGGGGAGTATGAGTGCAGTGCGGAAAATGATGTGTCATTCCCAGACGTGAAAAAAGTAAAAATTGTCGTAAACTGTAAGTCCTGTTGCTTTTTCTCATCCCAACTTCAGAGAAAAGAGCAAACACATAAAAACTAACGTCTGAAATTCGTGTTGCTGTGTTTTTAAAAGATGGTTATGATAAAGACCACCTGCTGACAGTGAAATGTGTACGTGTTGGGATATTGATCATATTATTTTATGTAACATTAATTTTTGTCACAAGCAATCTCACGATAATTCCATTTGATGCAGAGATTAAAATGCTTCCAATATCACTCTAGTTTCCTGCATTCCAGACTGTAGTGTCCTTATCTCTAACGCAATGTAGACGCAGGTTGTTTTCTTCATTCTCACGGGTTTCACCTGGAGTGTACTCTGACTAAATTTAAGTGTGTTACTCCCAATCAGACCTGATGAAAATGAAGTGTGCTGGGCTGTACTCAAAGACAAGAGATGTAGCTGTGTTGTGCCTATTACTAAGGTGAATTATCTCTGTTTAATTTGGAAAATATTGAGACATTGAAGAAAGAATTATTCCATGAATATCACCATTAGGAATTTAGAATATTAGGAGATGCTCACAGAACAATCAGTACCATTATGGTATACCCTTTCTCTAAATGCCCCAAAACATTACCATGAGACAATTTTTCATTAACATCCTCTTGTATATCTTATGATCTCAACAACAATGACTGCAGTAGTATGTACATTTAAACATACCCCCTTAGTCTTTCTCTCAAAATTTTTTTATCATTTAACTTCTTCAAATAAAATATCCTTGGGGAAATAATATTTTACCAAGGTGTTTAGAAGCTATACCTTTCAAATTTTTGTCCCATTGATACACTTCCTGTATGTAGCCATTGCTAATAATTTGCACTTAGTTTTGTATCATGGATCTGAAGACACTGTTCCAGATGCATCTAAAAATGCTAAAATGAATGAGCAGTTGTTTCATATTAATATAAATCTTTCAGTAACTTGGGACAAAAAATAACTAATAAAACACTGCTGGAAGTTAAGGTGTCAGCCACAGCAAATCACTGTCATCCACTAGCATTTGTAGTGCCCAGTCTATGTCTTTGGGGTTGAACTATCTCTGTGGAATAGATGGAGCAAATATGCATAATATCAGATAAGTTGGCAGTTTCTAAGAAGCCCTTGTTGCACAACCGTTAAGTGCTGGGTTGCTAACCAGAAGGCTGATGGTCCGAAGCCACTAGCGGCTCCTTGGGAGAAAAGATTTGGCAATCTGCGCCTGTAAAGATTTACAGCTTAGGAAACCGATGGAGAGGGTCTACTCTGTCACGTTGGGTCTTTATGAGTCAGAATTGACTCAACTAAACACAACAACAACAGGCAGTTTCTGCAACAAGGTTTTTCATAGACTGTTAGGCAGACAAACTGCATCACGATCGCCTAAGAAGGTGATTAAAATGGAAAAAGTCTAGGCCCCACATCAGCCCTATTGAATCGGAATCCTTGAGGGGTAAGGCCTGGAAATATGCATTTCTAACAAGTTCCCAGTGATTCTTGGGAGACCTACTGCAGTGAGCTACTGCTGATCTTTCTGGAACTCTTTGAAATAAGAGATAACAAGCAAGTGAAAATTTCTGACCATTTTATCACCAGCCATGCTTACCAGAATATGTGTCCACTGATTTAATTGTTGGAAGGTTGGGAAGAGATGCAAGTAATAGGGTTACCAAGGAAATAATTTTTTTAGCAGTGAGCACTAAGAAACAAAAAAGTCAGTTAAAACTGTCATTTAAGAAAGCATCTAACAAGGCAGCACAGCCCATTTTCCAACCCCCAAACCCAATAGATCTCTAAAATGATATTCCTGGTAGGGATGGAATTTAAAACCCACCTGCTGTATGGATTTTCATGGGCTATACTTCATGTAGAAGTCTCTGGGTGGTGCAAATGGCTAAGGCGCTCAGCTGCTAACCAGAAGTTTGGAGGCTGGTGTCCACCAAGGTGCCTTGGAAGAAAGGCCTGGCAATCTACTTCCAGAAAATCAGCTACTGAAAACCCTATAGAGCACAGTTCTACTCTGACACACATGCGGTCAACGTGAGTCAGAATTGACTCAATGGCAACTAGTAAATACAATACATTCTTTTTTATCCTCCCTCTCTGACTTTGGTTCTTTGCCATTTATTATGTAATCTGATTCTGTATTTTCCTAGAGAAGTGGGGACCTTAGATTGAGAAAGAGCAACTGAAGAGGCAGAAATATGGGGAGAAACTGAATTGAAAGAAATGCATACCAATCAAATTAGTCCTCATCTGAAAGGATTGAGTTGAGAAGAGAATCCATATATAGGCAGAGAACAGAAACTGGGGAAACAGGATGTCAATAACAGTGAAGAGTCTGCCACAGTGTCACGGATATTGATAGAAGGCAGAGATGAAGGGCAGTTTATTACTCATAGTAATAGCAGGAGCCAGATTATTGTCATTTTCCTGCATCAGTTCCCCAAACCCAAATTGCTACAGGGAGATGAGATGAGGGCTAGATGACACCTACACACACAGTGGGTTTACATCATAACTGAGAGTCCATGAGTTTAGGAATTATTATTTTTTAATGAGCTGCAAGTAAACCAATTCCTTGCCCCAGATAGGGAAAGTATCTTTGTTATATTGGACTGTAAAGAAACCCACCCTTTTGCTCAGTAGGGAGAACTACTTCTATCTTCCAAGATTGTTCACTGCACAAACATCCCTGAAAAGACAGTCAGGAATAAAAGCTGTCAGTGTCTCTGCTTGCAAGACATGCAGAAATGCAAGAGACACGTGGAGAATTGTCTTCCAACACAAAATGGGAGCATGAAAGTTGGAAGCAGAGTCCAAAGACATTCCCTCAGCTGAAGAGGGTGCTTCAGTGGCTTTTGTAGGGTGTTGGATGTCTTAGGATAGGTAGGAAGGAAGACTTTGTTAACCAATTTTAACTTAAGGCGGGGGAGAAAAAGAAAAAGAGGGAAAAAAATTAAGATGGTGCTTTTTTAAGTCATAACACAGACTGCCTTTTTTAAGAAGTAATTATAGGTGGATAAAGTGCAGTCATAAGCAACATATTGCTGGGCACATAATATTAACTTCTCTTCCATTTAAAAAAAAATGGTCCCTGTAGTATTTAAAAACGATTTTAAGCAATCAATTCTTTTGTCTTTTTTCCCCTCCCCCAACTACACTTTGGCTAGCTCACCTTTTCCTAAATGTTCCATTAATAATTGTATTTAATATTGTTGGATAAACTTACATGTCTTGAATCAATATTTTTCATAAGAGATGGATTTTGCCCAGACTTCTGGTCAAGACATAAATTCTGCCTTAGTTTAGAATAGTTTAGTCACATATATACCAGCAATATCTAAGGTGTGTAGGTATATGAGTGTGGGGATGTATAGGTATGTTCCTGGTTATGACGAGGTTTGGAAAGTGTTAATTTTGTGAATTTGCCCCCTTAAAAGTGAAAATTGAGAGCTACCTATGGATTTCACTGAGCTGATTTCCCAAAAGAAATTAGCCAAAGACTACTGAACAAACTTCAGTTCCTCAAAGCCCAAAATTCAGGACAGAGGTCTATGTTACAGCATGGAACTGCACATCCCCTGATAACCTAAAGATTCCCTCAAGATAGTACCATGCCAGATTCAAGGCAGCCCTTCCTTTCATTGTTATTAATCAATATTGATTGTGCATGTGGAATGCAGTAGCAATTTGAGTTAGAATTCGAAGAGGAACTTTGTCCCTGTTCCCAAATGGGGCTCAAGATGAAGTGTAATAAATTTTCATAAGCTCTGGTAGATCAATTATGTAGCAAGTCAATTTGAGGAAGAAATTTAGGTTCCCTGCAAGTTAGAAATGTTTAATGTTTTACTCTTCATCTATATATACACAGCACACATATACAATAAACAACATATTTGCCACATATTTTGTAGCTATAACACTTTGATGTGGATTTATATTTGATTTAATTAAACAGTTTAGAGATTTAGTTTATATAGATTAAGCTGCTTAAATGATTGAATAAATTAGTTCATTTTGGATTGTTTACAATGTCTTACTATAAATAGAAATAAAATTATAGGCTAGTTAGATTCAATACAAAAGAGTTATTTCTGGGTAGTGAGGAATGTAGGTGATTTTTCTTTTTTTATTTCTCTGCATTTTCTTTTATTCTTCTATAGTAAAAAAATACTGCTTGTCAAATTTATAAATGATCTAAAAAATAAAAAGGATGACTATTTTCATAACTAGACCTTGAGATTAAGCACACACACACACCATGAGAGAAACATTGTTTTTGGAACAGTTGATTAGCTAAACCAGAGAGAACTAGTAAACCTAGGGTTGTACAGATTCCTCGTTTTATTTGCATTTCTTTTCCATGCTTAGCAGCAGCTTAGTGAACATTAGGCCCATAATCACTGTTGTTAATTGAACAAATGAAAGAATGAATGAGTTCTAGAATGTCCATGGGTTCAACTGAATTGACAAAAGCAGGAATCAATGAAGGTTTCATCCGGAAAGGAGAGATGAGATTCTGGAAAATCAGCAAAATTGACTATCATAGGAAGCCAAATCTAGAATCTGGAAAATTTAGAAGGTATGGTGGAATAATAAAGTGTTGTAGATCTATGTAGACAAGCAAGCCCAGATATTAGAAATCAGCAAGGCATGGAAGAACTAGCCCTCAATATTAATGTTGCTAGTAAAAGGGGTAAGGGTCTCAGATCTTCTAACAGGGCTGTTTTCCACTCTGTATGAATTCTTTCTGTTAGGAGTTGTTATTTTTGAAATGAACCTATAAATATTGTTAGCCTTGTAGTCATATACAACTTGTTTGAATCTCTGTTCTATAATTTACTAGGCTTTGAAATATTGGGCAAACTAATTTACCTCTCTGATTCTCAATGTTCTCTTCTGTAAATCCAAGGTAATCATACATAATCCTAAAGGTCTGGGTAAGGATTAAATTAGATGATGTACATCAAGTGTCTGTCCCAGCACCTTGCT